TATCCTATGGTCGTCGCATGTGTGGGAGTTATACGTAATTTCTGTGTTCGTCGTGCTGATAAAATGTCGGATTAACTTCGGCAAATGTTGTGGTAAGTAGGTACTGCTATACTATAATAATATAATGTGATATAATCATTTTTGKTTATTGTTTTTCTGCCAGTCGTTTTGTCGTTTTATTATGAGCTTATTGGTTCGCTACAACCGTTGCGGGTAGGTAACTGTTACTATAATAACTGTGGCGCAAGGTGGCACTAAATTTGGTAAAAATAATTGAATCGTTTGTAGTAATAACACCCGAAGTTGTGAGGATTGTGAGTAAAACGGCAAAGACGTTTCAAATATATCATGACGTACCTAATCAGTTGCCATTACTAGTTAGTAATAATTACCCAATAAGTTTTGTAGTATATTTTTAGAAATAAATGACGTAAATAGTTGTACAAATACACCAACGTAATATTTATAAATAAATATGATATTGATTGGCTGGAACTCCAGTTGGATGATATTTTTATTTTTGTCCACGATAATTTTAGACGGTTATATAATATAAATATTATATAATAATATAAGTACCGTACTCAATGTTTTGCGGTCGGTTTTTCCGATCTAAAAGTATCTCATTTAGCATTGAGAAAGTTTAAAAATCTATGGGAAAAATCGATTAATATTTAATCACAACGCTCGTTATTCTAATGTACCAAATATATTATAGCCATTACACGTCACGATTTATCGCGCCACAAAATCACAATTATTGTCTCGATCCCACTGAAGTGTACCCAATAAATTATATAACATGTATTATATTATACGTTCTAAATGATATCTAATAAACTAGCTATGCACCTAATTTCATGGGTTCTAACTTGCCTGGAAACAATTCCAGTTAAGGGTTTCGGTGAATTACTTAGAAGTTTGTGATACAGCTTCGGTAACTTTGGTGTTGGGCTAAAGTTGCAGGTCAATAAGCTATCCAAAATTGAAAATGTGATTTTCAACTACACCACTCCAGCAGTTTTCTGAATATGATATGACATATCCACATCACTTCAAGATTACACGAGTTTATGAGCGATTCTAAATAATCTACTTTAAAATGAAATACCTCAAATAAAATATTATTGACAGAACAGACTCTATTTTTCAAGCAGTTTAAATACTATCAAATAAAATAAATCAAAAATGCTGTGGTTTTCCTTCCCGTCTCCATTCAAGTAAATGAGATGAAGTTTTAAACTTGAAATTCACAACTAATTCAAATAGAAACATTAAAACTTCAATCTAAATATTTGTAGAATTTATCTATGTTAATTTTTTCTGGTCCCAACACCCTTAAATACTCTTTTCTGAAGTTTAATCGAACTACATTACATTCTAATACTATTATTAATAACTAATTATTTAACACTACGTATCATTATTTATTAGTAAAATAATAAATTTTATTATTATTATTTTTATTATTATTACTATTATCATTTATGGTAAATAGTGGTGTGTCTGTTTGTATGAGTATGCAATTTAATTATCCTGAACAATAGTAATATAGAAATGTTGTATTATTTTTTTACGTGTCACTTTGTTTTCGACGGTATAAAATGTATTTATTATTTTATTAACACCTTCAAACAATGCAATGTCGCAATAACTTTAATTGTGAAGTCTTACTTTTTATCCTGTGTATTGTAAATTACAATACCAATACAGAGTTTCCGTGATTATAAAATTGTTCTTGCTCAATATATTCAATGTAAAATATATCCAATTAAATTACTGAATACATTTCAAAAAATTTGAATTTTTATATAAACAAAAAAAAATCATCAAAACCTTTATTTAAATTATAGACTTTGAATTTAATTATTTATTACTCACAATATTGAGTTTATGAAACATTTCGACGAATGCGTTAAATTTGCATTTTTTTTAAGCACATTGTATGTGTGAACTGAGTATCCAATCTCATTTAAAACGTTAACATTTAGCTTAAGAACGGAAAACTTTATGGCTACTGAGACTAAACGAAAATTGAAAAAACCCAGCAAAGGTATATGACTACATATAACGAGATATCACATCGGACTCGGCATTTGTTGTGGGCTCGAAGCCAACAAAATGTAAACGCTGACAATACGATTTTTTTCGGTCGTTAGAAAGATTTTTTTTATAATATAATAATATTCAAAGCAGCGACATGTATAAACGAATAAATTAAGTTATGTCGTTATAATTTTTTTTTCTGACCACAATATCAGAAGAAGTTTTTTGCTAGATGTACATACTCTCTTTGTTACATATACTCTTTAGTCGTTCACAATATTACACAATTTTTATTGAAATATTTTATTCCATGGACAATCGTTTGAGTTGAAAAAAAAACTAAAAATTCTCGTTCTCAATCTCATTCACCAACAAAACTCAGATCGTAATATTTAAGTAGGTAAATTTTTTAAACAATCCGTGAATGGTGTATTGACAAGATACAACTTTACTATAAGCAATAATGCCCGCGCATAAAAGTTTTTTTTTTTTTATTAAAGGAGCTGCAGCTGGATTTTTCAAAAGTCAAAACTAATTTAGATTTTACCAATTTAAACATTAATTTTGTTGGTTATTATGATTTTCAATATATTTAAATTCCTTATTATAAAATAAACCTTAAGAAGCTGGAGGGGGCTCCAGTAAATGAAAAAAAAAAAGTTACTTTTAGACCAATAAGCTAGACAAAACTGGAAGAATTTAGTTTGACAGATTTTAATATTGAAACCAGATTATGATTGATCAACAAGTTTACTAGGGAATGATCAAGACGATTTTRAATATTCTAATTATTGTTAGTGTCATAGTGAAAATTATCATATTTTTTTGATATTTTTATTTTTGTTATCACAGCTGAAAAATTTCAAAATCACCTCGATCATTCTCTAGTAAACTTGTTGATCAATCATAATTCGTTTTCAAAATTAAAATCTGTCAAACCAAATTCTTCCAGTTTTGTCTAGCTTATTGGTCTAAAAGTCACTTGCTTTTGGCTATAGCCATTTAAGAGGATGTATGATCATAKCAAATATACTAAAATTACGTTCTTTAGAGCCAATTTTGTTTAAGGTAAAAACGACTGTACTTAGTTTAAGATTAAGTAAGTTATTCTACTATTAAACTTTAAATTGAAAATTTTAATTTAAATGATGGTTATATATTAATTTWAAAAAAAAATAGTGTTGTGTAAAATACTTATTATAATTTAAAAATGTTTGCAACTAGTATAAACATTAAATATTGTAAATTTGTAAAAACCAACGTACACACAGTTTTCTTATATTTGTATTCACTTAATGTTTGATAATAGATAGGTTGATTTTATAAAAGCTATATAATTCGAGTATCTTGGGTATAAAATTATAAAAATTATAAAATATGTTTATAAACATTTAGGTTCTTGATATAATTATATTTATCCATGTGGCTCACAAATATATTCATCTTGACCAGCCCCTATACGTTGAAAAATTGACTGACCTCACCAAGTTTGGGCATACCACWGTAGAACCTTTTTAAAGAACACAAAATAGCTAATGTGTACCAATTTAATGATGAACCTCTCACCCGCGATCCATTAAACCAGAAAACTTCTCTCAGAAATAAGTATACATTTTATATATAGGTATAGGTACTATGATATAAAACGAAAAGTTTTGCGCGACAGGAGACAGATCTGCGGGAAGATAAATGAAATCTTTAGTTCCGATTGGTAACATGTGTGTGGTAAGTGATGACACGTTGAAGAGTTACCGAGATAATGTATTATATATATTACGTTGTCACTGTATATATATATATATATACGTTGTGGTGTGTTTAAGGTCTTTTATCTTCAAATGCCTGCTGCAGTGTTCCGTTGTAGTGTCTACTCCCACAACATTTATCGTCAGAATATAAACCTCTCGTCTATAATTTTGTTTTCTATATATTTTAGTTTTTGTAAAAATTTCATTAAGTCTTAAACGTTACGACGGTGACAGTTTTCTTATCATAATATGATGTACAAAAGAAACCTCTCTTAGACATTTCTTTCATGAATATSATATTACATTTTGCTTTTTTATTATTTTAAATATTTTATTATTTTTATTACGAATATTGATAAACAATAAATTAGATAATTCAAAATTAAGATACAGTTAGTTAATAAACGTATATATTTTCATGTATGTAATCACGATGTTAGATGCTAACGTTTTTAATCTTAAAAATTATTTTATACTATTTATATGCACATAATATATTATATAAGTAAAATGTTTTTTTCTATATATTTTAAGTTAGTGGTAATATTATAACATTGGTGAATGTGGCTGAAACGTGCTAATATTCATCAGCGGAGAGCGAAAAAATATGCATGATGGAATTAGATTTCTATGAAGGTGGCAAAAAGTAAACAATCAAAGTAGATATACAGGATACATGATATAGAGTAATTATAGACCATTATAATAAATCACTCTCATTAACACCATTTCCTAGGTCCAATGTGATCTTTTGTTGGTATATAAGTATATACTGGCTATTAATAAATTATAATATGAAAAATAATTCATGGTTGTATTTGACATTTGCAAACAAGACCTACTTAAGATAAGATAACTGGACAGTGAGATAGCACACTTACAGAACCATTAATTGTTACTTGTTATTCCAGATAATACCTACTTTTTTTTTTACTGCATTACACAAGTCAACATCATTCGACAAGTAAGGTGTTCAATCTGTTGAATATTTCACGCCTACCAATTGCATTACAATAAATCAACATGTATTAGCTATTTATACCCCCACTGTACTCTGTAATAAATCTCATTCTCATACCGTTGTTTATCATATTTTATAAATTATAAAGCAATCAACATAATTATAATATCAATGCTGAATTTGTTTTCCTTAAGCACTTGTTATTTAATATAATTTATTAAAATATATGTCATTTTGTCCAACAGACCAGTCCGGATGGAAACATAACAACGAGTGTGCTGACATTCACTCCAACGATCAAAGACTCGGACAACACATTGAGCTGCCGAGCAGAAAGCGGTAAACCGGATACCGTGAACAACAGACACAGCAGCAAACCCGATGGTCGACAATATCAGGCAGTCGACGTCGATTCTTCCGATGGATGGAAATTAAACATATTCCGTGAGTATTACATCAGTGTTTTTTTTAAATTTATATACATAATCAGGACGAATATTTAAGTGCGTAAAAAACAAAAAAATTGTCTAATATTGTGATATCATTAATTATAAGCCTCGGTAATTTCGGAATGAATGAAAAAAAAAAATGGTACTGAATGTTCTTCACCAAATATTTAAGGCCCTAAAGTGCTTTCAGAAATGCACATAAAATAAAAATCGTAGCTCTGAGATCATGATCAGTGTACTTCAAGAATCAACATAATATTTAAATTACCCTTTAGGTGCCATATTGTAATCATAGACCATAGACTTATAATAATAGATAGACCGCGTATTAGTGAAATATATTTAAGTCAAAATATGTGCAAGAGGGACAAACTTTGACATTACTTTTGTAACGGGTAGATTTATTATTATTTATTAACTACCAAGATTATAAAAATGTACATACCATGATGGTAATYATAATACTTTATTTAATTGATACATCATAATATAAATCACTAAYATCATTATTTGTCGTGTTTACTAGAATATAATAATAAATAATCATCAGCACAATATTACTAATAATTCATCGTACATATTAGTATACAATATTAAATAATAACCGGCAGTAGGTAAAAGAATATAATCATGTATATTAGAATATAATATTAAGTACCAATCGGTCGCGTATAAAAGAACATAAATTAGAWAATATACTAATCATGTATATTAGAATRTAATATTAAGTACCAATYGGCCGCGTATAAAAKAACATAAATTAAATAATATAATATTTTGTGTTACATTCACAATTCACAATTATTATGTGTTGAGTACTCACAAATTCTAATTTATACCGCGATGTAACGGCTTCACGTATTTCCACTGGTCCTGGCAACAGCTCACTCGAATCTGGCGGCGGCGGCACTGACTGACGGTAGGCAGCGTAGGGCAGTGATCGTAAGCTCTAACCGAATGGCCRAGAGTCGTTAGAAGTGGGACGCAATGGTGGCACTGACGGACGGTGGCTGCGTAGGGTGGTGAGCGTACAGGTAGTTAACGCTCTAACCGAATGGCCGAGAGTCGTTAGAAGTGGGACGCAATGGTGGCACTGACGGACGGTGGCTGCGTAGGGTGGTGAGCGTACAGGTAGTTAACGCTCTAACCGAATGGCCGAGAGTCGTTAGAATCGGGACGTGGTGGTGGTAGTTACTAGTGCTCTAATCTGGTGGCCAAGAGTCACTAATACCTATTGGAGCGGGGCACGGACGAGATCGGACGGCGAGACACGCACAACTTACCAGCCGAACATAGTCGGACCTCTAACTAATAGCCGAGAGTGTCAAACCTTCTAACTATGTAAGCTGCTAGTCACTAATTATCACTGTGACGGTACTGTTGCTTTGGCTTTGCTTTGCTTTGGGGGGATGGCTATGCCGTTAACTATACCAGGCTTTCACCTCTACTAGTGGGGGAGAGTATTAAGGAAGTTTTTAATGGTTAGTCCAAGTTAAGGGGTAAGGTTTAAGTTSTTTTTTGGTAGTTGGGGGGGAGTGAGATTTACATAGAWGGCGGAAATGATCATTGTCTGAATAGGAATTTTTGTAKAACATAAGTTTGGACTGGGGYTGAATAGATGATTTAATGGATTTAATGTTAGCAGATTTGAGAAGAACCGAATTTTCGACAATAGAGGGCATGCCCGTTATTGTTCGTATACCTGTGTTTTGGACGGAATCGATACGCCTCCATAGTGAAGGACCGATGAAAGGGGCCCACGAGGGGCCAGCGTAAGTAAGAAYGGGAGATACGTATAGTTTAAGAATTTTGAGTCTGGTAKTAAGTGGGATGGGGCAAGTACGCTGAAGTATGGGGTAAAGTATTCCGTGAGTGCGGGTAGCTTTTTTAATAATGATTTGGACGTGTTATCCGAAGTTGAGTTTGCGCCCTATTGTAACGCCGAGGTATTTGGCTTGTTTGGACCAGTTAATGGTGTGGTTGTCAAGTAGTAGTGGTGGTATGTGAGAAGTATTGGATCGACCGAAAATAATGTCTACGGTTTTAGTTGGGTTAATTTTTATGCGCCAGCGGTGAAACCATCTGGAAGCTAGGTTTAGTTGATGTTGAAGTTGTATGGCCGCACGTTTGGGATTTTTGTCGAAGGTGAAGTGTTACTTTGGTCGTCGACCAGCGGTCTTATATCAAATTATTCGACGATACTACTGGTGCAGCRGCGGGTGTTTGCCGGTGCCGGATTATTACTCCTATCTTATAATATTACACCTATCTTTTTATGTCTGCTATGGATTTAGTGTATTTAATATGAGTCCTAAGTGTTTATCTAGCCGGTTTGACACAATATGGATGGTTAGYTGTTGGATATTGACGACTGATGATGATTAATCYGATGGCATTGATCGCCTGATCAAGCCTGGTCGACGTAGTGCGCAATCTATGAATGATAATTTGATTAAATTTCTTAGTTTGATCCGAGTAGCACCGCTACGCGCCGCGCCGTGAGCGTGTGAACGAACACGATCGTCAATGCGATACATTGTGTTCGTCACACTTTTTCTAGGAGATAACAAGCAATTTTATAATACTCCTTTGTAGTAATGAATTGATTACTGATAACAGTGATAACGTTACYATCAAGACACATTATTGACATTATTGTCCGACAGTCCATGCTGATATGTTAACAAATCCTTTTTAAAATATTTTTGTGATTTGTGACAAGTAACAACAACATTTTCCAGTTGTAACCATAAACTTGGTTTTTAACCAAAATAATATTATATTGACTATAAGTTAAGATGGGCCTTAAATGTTGTGCCGATTTATGTAATTCTGTGGCGAACGCTTTTAATATTCGACTTCATAGGTAAGTTATTTCATTCTTAAATATATATTATTGAAAATGTTTAATTAATTTTTATATTTAAATAATAAAGAATAAAGCCAATTCCATTTGTTCATATATTTTGTTAAAAGTAAATAATAATCGATTAATTTTAGTATACATTGTGTAAATGCTAATTAAGAACACTTAATATTTTTGTGAAGAGCCCTACAATTTAAATTCTGATTTTTAGGTAATTATTCTGATAACTAAAAATACACACTTTTTACCAAAATTTGTTGGTCAATTTTTGACTTAGAAAGTTGGTTTTTTATTTTATTTTCGACGCCTCATGGGTATTACAGGTTTAGTACAGTACAATTTTTTGGTAATTACAAGGTAAAATTACAAGGAAAGATAGAATATGCCAGAATAACCACCTAGAAAGCAGAATTCAAATTGATACCTACGCAAAGATATTGATTTGCGTTTATGCATTGTATTTGTATTTTATCGGGCTTCTTTTATTTTTGATTTTTTTTTCTGCTTTACGTATTTTTCAACACTGAATGTGATGTGTAAACGAGTTTTTTATGAATGCTTAGAACATAGAGTCTGTAGAAGAAAAACGGTTACTGATGCGGCAACTTAATATAACACATGAATAAACAATAACACCTACATTAAGAAAATTTGCCATAACATTACATTTCTATTCTCCTTCAGCATATGATTATGTCCGTAACATATTTTCAAAAAGTTTGCCCCATGTTAGCACATTGAGAAAATTGTATTTTACTATTAATATTTTGCCTGGATTTTCTTCAGAGTCATTTAAAGCTATATCTATGAAAGTTGAAAAAATTAAAAAATTTGGAAAACAATTATTTGGTGGTATGATAATTGATGAAATGAGTGTTAAACAACATGTCAATTGAACAGGTACTAGACATTAGGTGTATATAGATTATGGTCTTTCTTGGTGGTACGACAAGACAAACTGATAATTTTTCATTTGCCAAGGATGCCTTTGTCATAATTGTGGTTGGCATGAACACTTATTGGAAAATTCCTGTTTCATACTATCTTATAGCTGGAATCAGAGCAGAAGAAAAAGCAAATATTATTTGGTCTTGCTTAAAAGAGTTGTATAAAACTGGAATTAAAATAAAAACACTAGCGTTTGATGGTGCTGCAAATAATCTCGCAATCTCCAATGTTTAAACTTTATATTTTATAGCATGTAACAAAGATTAAGTTAAGAATTAAAAGTTGTTAGTTTTCAATATTTRTATGTCATAATAAAAAAATAAAAATTATTTTGTATATTATATATTATCAATTTGGTTATCATTATTTTATATTTTAAATATTTATAATCTCAAGGAATAATGTACAAATTGTCTATAAACTCCTTGAAATTGTAATGTCAGAGTCTATTACTCTCGCAAATATGTTGGCTTAAAGTGTTAAAGTGTTACACACAAAACGAGCGTAATGCGTGGTCTAACTATTATAATTCTATGATTGTAATAAATAAATTCAGTACATTTCCCCCTCGAGGCAATATATTCATACGGTCAAAGTGAAATTATTATTAGTTCATATMGTAGGTAATACGTAAAATGTATTCAACTGGTTTCTCGTTTGAATGTTGAAGCTGATAACTTAATTTAAATTTGACTATAACATAATATTGTGTAATCAATACACATACACCATATACATCAGTGGTCTGTGAATTACTTATTTTCTTAACGTTGACTATTATTAGATAGATTAAACCTTATGATTTTCATTTAACAGTTCTTACTCGAAAAAAATCATGACTATTAATAACTAAGARACCACCATTCTCTCTACACCATGTAAGTCACGATGATTTTAGGTATTTCACATTTTCAAAGGTCATAAAGTATTCAATATCAGTTAAAATACAGTAATTTCAGAGTAGAATTATAGTCGAAGAAAAATAGCTAAATTTTTGAATGTAAGATTGTACTTTTAAGTTAAATATTTCTTTCTGTGAAAATATAATTAGTAAAACATATTAAATATAAAAAMAAAAAAGGATTTTTTAAATTGTCAATAACATAAAACCATGTATCAAAAGATGTCATGTTTACTTTTTCAATACCTAGCTGTAATATTTTTTATTGTATATTTCCATG